AAAGAGTGCCCTTCAGACTTAGATCAATATTTGTATCAATTATGTGTCTGCAGCTGATTAGAGTGAACAGAAACATGATCTGCGTCACTGAAATTAAGACTATTTTTGAGATTTTTCTCTCCCTTCTGGCTTGATCTAAACCAGCATTCTTCAAAATGTCTTTGTGCTTTATTTCCTTTATGCAGCATGGGGTTTTAAATTTTTTTCATTTGGTAGCTGTTGAGACTGAACATAACACCCTTCTTATTTTAGACTGCATTCTGTGGAGACTTCAGCACTGGTTTAGGATCACTTACTCATTACAAGATGCTAAAAGAAAGGGTCAAGTCACTGCAGATTACTGGTGTTCAATATTTGTGTGGACAAGCTAGTTTAAGTAGTATTTATGGATCATTATTTCATACCAGTTATTTTATTATTCCACAGGGTAGGAAAATCCAGAGTAAACTCTTATGCCTGAAGTACATTTAGTAATCCTCTGGCTTGGGCTTTATCTGCAGGCAGACGCTTAGTGTTTTCTAGGCTGCTCTGCTCTGCAGTACTCTCATAACTATACAAATAAAGCACAATTTCTTTTCCTCTGTGGCTGTAGTTAGCTTTTAACTTGATATGCCTAACAGGCTACCTAAGAGGGAGATGGAGGAGGTGATGAACAGCAGAGCACAGCTGTGCTGTGCTGAGGGCAGAAGATAGGCAGGAGTTGAGGAGGTGAATTCTTATGCAAAGGAAGCAGGTGTTTGAGATGTATAAAGGGAAGGATGAAAACTTGCAGGCTTTGACACTGTTTGCTCTTCAGCACAGTTTACTTTCATCTCTGGCAGGGCAGATTCCTAAAGCAGATGAGGAAATTTTGAATTGTAAGATGTGTTTGCAAATTGAAGCATTAAATTCCTTGCTTATTTTGACCTCAGGATTTTATAAACATTCAATTTTTCTAGGGTTTTGCTTTGTGTAATCAAATATCCTATTGATTTATTGTAGAAAACTACATTTTTCCACAGTGACTACAAGGCAGTAACAAAGTTTTTTACAGGCATTTTATCACTTTCAGAGTAATATGTTTGTCTTAAGTACCATTGCTTTTGATGTATGACTAATTTGTCTAGAAGGGTGCATGTTACCTATTTATTTTTGCCTTTAGTTAATGTTACATGGAGTCAAGTTTGAACAAGTGTTGTCACCTCCTTCTAATATCCTTCTCGTTCAGATGATTGTTCATGGGTTTCTTTAAATGCTGTCTATCTGTAATATGTTCTGGAATTCAGTTTTATTTATAGGAAGAAGTATAAAAAGAGATGAGCCTTTGAGAAGTTACACTCTCTATTCCCCCTATGCTTCAGAATTCTGTATAATTTTGAATACAAAAGAAAACCTCAGAGAGCAGAAGAAATGAAATATCTTGGCAGGAATCCACAGAAATTTGGTACCCTCTATTGCTTCTAGTGTCAGGTGTAGGGAGCACTTTTGCATTCCTAGAAATAAAACCCTTTTCAGTGGCATTTTGATACAATTGTTTTGAATCTTACTATCATCTGTCAATAACCACTTGGGAAAAGGAGAATTCTGCAAGATACTACATGGAATGCCAGTAATGTGCAGTTCCTATGAGGTCACATAACTAACTTGTATTTTCTCTGTCACTGTCAAACATAATTCAGAGATCTTACACAGGGTCTGCAGCACTCTGCAGGTTTCATAGATATGGTTCTACAATAAAACAAATACATGCATGTTCCATTGTTAGTAATGGGTGTTAAATGCTGAGTATAATTACTTCAAATGTAAGGATGTGATAGGGTCAGCATTTTTTGTAGAAATTAGTAGGTTTCAAATTATGATTTACTTCCTGTTTTATGGAAGTCCAGCACAGTGGTATTTGTGTGTGTCTCTCTTATGTTTCCCAGATTTCTGCCATTTGATAAACTGAAGTACTACTTTGAGTAATTCCAGTTAATGAATGTCACCTTTGTTTTTTTTCAGTCACCCAGCATGGGCACCCTGATGGGGGTCTATTTACCATGTATGCAGAATATCTTTGGGGTTATTCTCTTCCTGCGGTTGACCTGGATGGTAGGAATGGCTGGAGTTCTGCAGTCCTTCCTGATTGTATTACTTTGCTGCTGTTGTGTAAGTATATAGGTAAAATAATGCATGTGGCATAACCTCTGTAAACTATTGAGAAACTCAGAGGGGCTGCATTGTAGATCCATGTGTTGAGAAAAGCTAGATTTATGCTAGAAATTTCTATTATGTGATTTTTTTTTTTCCTTCCCACCTGCTGGTATTTCTGAACTGGCAAACTGTATCTGGTGCAGTCTTAAAATATGTTGTTTGTTCAGCAAACAGCTGTTTTTTGTGCCTGTCCCAGGTCATGTCTGCCTGGTTTGCTGGACTAGCCTTTGTTGGAATTTCAGCTGCACACATGGACGGACACCTGCATTCTTTTATCTTACTTTGTTTGCAGACACCCATTATTTGACCTGATAAAGCAGTGGTCATCTCTGAAGCAAAAGTCTCAACAGCCTGATGATTAAATTTCTGCTACCCTTTTTTCAGATAATGACCTGTCGAGGGAGAACAGATAAAGATATTCTATCCTATAAGCAGTGGCAGTTGCTCTATCAAGAAGTAAGTTATGTTTTGAGAAATGTTGACACAATTGCTTCCTTTTCCTTGTTTTCCTCAGACTATGCTGACAACCATATCGATGAGTGCTATTGCCACAAATGGTGTTGTTCCAGGTAAGTGTAGTTAGCAAACTTCTCATTTGTGTTTTAAAAAAAAGTTGCTATAAGCTGTTAACATGGTTTTATTTCAGAGGAATTTGCTTAAGCCAAGATACAAAGAAGGAACTAATACCTAGTATTTTTTCCTAGTGTCATGTAGGCTAAAGTTTTAATTTATTTGGTTTTTAGTTAGCCCTGTGCTAAAAAAAAGATGATTCAATTGAACACCCCAAAAAGCAAGTACACCATGTATAATTTTGTTGTATTCTTGTTGGGAATACTTTCCAATTTATAACAATAAGTAAATAACAATTTTCCTCTCACTTTTCTTGTTTCATAGCTGGCGGCTCCTATTTCATGATATCCAGGTCATTGGGCCCCGAGTTTGGTGGGGCTGTAGGGCTGTGCTTTTATTTGGGAACAACATTTGCAGGAGCAATGTATATCCTTGGTGCCATTGAAATTTTATTGGTGAGTAGTACCAGGGTAGTCCTGCTAATGACACAAAGAGCATATAAAAAATGCTGGAGTATTCTTTCTTGTCCTGTATTCCTGTACACATTTACAGGCAGAGACCAGAACGTCTCCCGTTTCTTGGTGTACAATTCCGTACTCCTTGTGCTTCCCTTTGGAAGTAGCACATTCTGTGGGTATCCAGAATGGAGCCTCTTTTGAAAACATAGGTAGAAGTATGACTTAATCAAAGACATATGCTCATTATTGATAAAGTTGGCTCAGTTGTTCTACTGAAATAGAATGGGCCATTATCCCTTGACTTTTCCTACAAACTGAGGTTTCGTGGTGAAGAGCATGTTGCAAAATGGAAAGTGATTTAAATTTCCATCATTGCAGTGATACTGAGTTCTGTTCCAGTGTTCCTTCAGCTTGCATTCTTCTTGTTTCAGACATACATTGTGCCACAAGCAGCAATTTTTCACCCATCTGGTGCCCACGATGCCTCCAGTGCTATGCTGAACAACATGCGGGTGTATGGCACCGTGTTCCTCATCCTGATGGCTGTGGTGGTCTTTGTAGGGGTGAAATATGTTAACAAATTTGCTTCCCTCTTCTTGGCCTGCGTAGTAATATCCATACTGTCCATTTATGCTGGAGCTATCAAGTCCATCTTCGATCCACCTGAATTTCCGTGAGTAGCTTTTCTGGATGGGGGTAGTTCTGTGGAAGTTACTTAAAACTTGTGCCCAAAGCTCCCTTTTTTGTGAATTACGTGGGATGTTTTTAGCTGTGTGGAGGGACAGGGATAGCTTTCTGCAAGCAGAGCTCAGGGAATAGAAGTTTCTCAGGATAAAATGAATGCATTATTGTATTCTTTAACGGTTTCAGTAGAATGAAGTCTCATGGTTAGTATACAGATAAATAGAAGCTGCTATTGCTCTACTTCTTGCAAAGACAAAACCAGCATCTTAGCCTATGGCTCTTGATTTAAATTCCAGTGAGAATTTTGCTGTGTTATTTATGGCAGTCCTGCTCAGTAGGGAGCAGCTTGGCGGGTCCATATTCCCCAGGCTGATCAGAAACAATGTGCTGCCGTTGTGGTTGGAAACTGTGGCGGGGTGATGCAGCTGCTTGCTGAGAAACAGGGCATCCATCTCTTGGGAATGTGGGAGGGGTGCTGGTGGGGCCATGCAGAGGCTCCAGTGAAACTTCCCCTTGGTTTGAAATCAGAGGAGTCTGCCATATGAGCAGCTCTGCTCTGAACATAACAGGTGTTCCTTTGCACCTTGCCAGTTACACATGTAATGCTGTTTCTTAAACTCTGAGCTGCAGCAGCAACATTGTAGATGCAGGCATTTTACCAGAAATGCAAGCAGTGTTTCCTGGCACTGCTGACAGGAGATGAATGGAATGGAAATGGAGAAGTTGAGTCTGCATAATTATTCACATCTTAAAATGTTGTGACCATAACTAAGTCCTTGCAGCCCTCAAGTGCTCCCTTTAGATATTCAGGGCCCAATGATTATAATGGTTTACAACAGTGGCAGGTTTACAGCAGTAAAAATAAAACAGTGTCTTTACCTCCCCCTCATTATCTCTTGGATTGTTCTTGAATGTTCTCCCTGTCTTTCTTCCTTGGGCTGTGTTTCTTTTGCTAAAGTAACTAGATAAGTGTATTTATTTTTAGTTCTGAAGGGAAAGGCTTCTCTGAAGTTACAGTTCACATGCCTGCAAACCCTGAAGAAATGGCCTTGTCTCTTTAGCTTTCCTGGCTTCTGTGCTTGATGAGACCTGTGAAACAATATTAAAATGGAAGAAAAAATACATTTATATTATTTTTCTGTGGTGGTTTTCTGGCACTGGGAAGAGAAATGGAATGAACTGGCTGCCACAGCAAGCTGTTGTGTTGTATCACCATGTTGTGTGGAGCCATTCTTTGAGAATTGGATTAAAAATTTTCAGTGCTTCAATAAACTATTTGTGGTTAAGTGGAACACAACAGGCACCTGGAGGATTATAGCAATTATGCATAGCATCTTCTGACAAGAACCACCCTTGCATGTTGTGATTCAAATGCATGTTCTGAATTCTGAAACTAAAATGTCAGGGATCATTTGAGTGTTACTGTACAGAAAATGGGATAATGTGATTACAAATATCTTCAGATATTCTAAATATCTAGTAATTTCAGTGCTACTATTCTTTAGATCTCTTCACTGAAAACCAAGATGTTGCTTAACCTGTCCCTTTCATTGTTTAAAGTAATTGTACCAAATTGAATAAATCACACTGATGTAGCTTTTTATATCTCTTGCAAAAAGTAGCTTTATATTTCTGACCCTTAAAGGGAACAGATACACAGTCTTTGTCCTGCTACCACCATCTTCTTGAAGCTGAGGAATGATGTAGCAGACTAGAGCCACTTGAAATTCCATGACAGGAAAGAAGAACTAGGGGAAGGGCAGATTTCACTTTCCCGGTACCATATAATAACACTGTTTTTCATGTTTCCTGCCCAGGATTTGCATGTTGGGCAACAGGACTTTGTCAAGAGATCAGTTTGATGTATGTGCCAAAACCATAGTCAAGGATAACATCACTGTGGCCTCTAAGCTTTGGGAGCTCTTCTGCCACACTACAAACTTAACCACCGAGAACTGTGATGAATATTTCCTAATGAACAATGTCTCTGAAATAGCAGGAATTCCAGGAGTTGCTAGTGGTATTTTAAAAGGTATGACAGATATTTTTTATTTTTTTTTTTCCCCTTGAAAGAGGAGGTTTCCTGAGCAGTTGAAATGGGTTGAGCTGCTCCCTGCTAGTTAAAAAAGAGGGACTGAAATAATGTAAATATAGCGAAGAAAATGACCTTCAAGCAAACCAAGTCTTACAATCTCTGAAAAGAGTAGATGGCACTTTTCTCCTGATACACTACTTGTCTGCTGAAAATTGATGCATATCTCATAATTTCAGCAGAAAGTCAGCTATAATTATATGCTATGCTAACAGGAGTAAGGTGTTAAATTTTTTCAGAACTGTGCAGCTATAACTGTTATGCACAGGTTAAGATTATGTCCTGAAATATAAGAATACTCATATAAAAAGTGTGCTTTCTTCTTTGCCTGCTCCTGAATATAATGTCATTGAAAAGTGTTCATTATTGAAATTAACTCCACAGAACAGTTCAAATCCCAGCCACATAAGTCTGTAATTCTTCCACTGTCTAAGAAAACTCATATCCTATGAGCTGTTCATATTGCTACTCTGGGTGGGTATGGTGGTTCTTAAAAAATATTCAGTGTTTCTTGGGGTTAAAATAGGTGTGAGGCTAAAAGAATGTTACATTTAGTAATATTAAAAGATAAAATGTGTTTAGACTTCTGTAGGCTATTCATACATATTGTTTTAGTTACAGATTCCCTTTTTTTCTTTCATGTAACTTGTATAGGTCTTAATTTGTGTTGATCACTGAGCTGCATTTGTAATCTTCAGTTATAGTTCCATTATAATAAGAAAAGGTTTGAACTGAAACATGCTTTTCTTTTCTGTGGTGTGATAATAACATTGAAGACAACCTATGGAGCAATTATTTGGAGAAAGGAGAGATACTGGAGAAAGCACATCACCCATCTGTTGATGTAGCAGGCCAGAAGAACAACCTTCATCTATATGTGCTTTCAGATATAGCTACTTCGTTCATGGTGCTGGTTGGCATCTTCTTCCCTTCAGTGACTGGTGAGAATACTGGGATGAGAGGTTATCTTAGGTCTCTGAGCTCTCTTCTCTCCCTTGATCTTACATCCAAAATGTGTTTTCAGGTATCATGGCTGGTTCAAACAGGTCAGGGGACCTCAAAGATGCACAGAAATCCATTCCCGTTGGAACAATTCTTGCCATTGTCACTACATCACTAGTCTGTATCCTTTTAAAATTGATGGAGCCCTGGCATGATGAAGGTCACTGAGATGAATGAGTGTATCTGATTTGTGGAACTGCTATCAGGTGCCTGAATTATCAGTGTGAGTATGGTTGGTCAGTAGGAAATAAAAACAGTCCTTGAGTTGAAGGCATCAGAATTATTAACCTGTTGTTTTCCATTCCTTTTTTCATGTTTAGTTTTTTTGTGTATTCTTTTGCATTTCTGTTGTTTTAGTTTGCCACTCAGAGGTCTGTAGTTTTTCAGGCTGGTAGAATACAGGTATATGTTTCTTTTAGGATTCAGTGGACCAGTAAGATGAGGGAAGGCTTTAAATGAGAAATATTATAAATTTTAATTCTTTCGATTAAAAAAAAAAAAAGTGCCTTTTAGTTGGACATTAAGTGTTACAGGTTTCCTTGAATGTTTTAGGGAAATATAAGGCTGCAGTTAGAAATTAAACTAGTTGTTCCCCAAGTGTGGGTTGTGGTTTTTTGGGGCTTTTTTGAGGGGGAAGGGGAAAGAAGGTTCATGTGGAGACTCAGCTGCTCACTGTTTCCAATGAATTAATGTATTTATTTTGAAGTCAGTTAAGATCATCTTACATCAGCTTACAGGACTGTATTATTTGTAACACTTTCATCTGATGCAATGCTTTTCTGTGATTCTTGAATGCATCCCCAGCTGGCAGGTGTGGAAGTGTTACAAACCCTGCTCAGTAGTGAGCTCCACTTAGCTGTGAATGACTCGTTGTTTCCTGCCTGTTTCCACTGAGACTGGAGATCTTAATTTACAGGATGTGAGGATGTTCCTCATACCAGATTTCAGGGCACTGAGTTCAGAGGAGCAGCTTCTGCTCCAGCTGAAATTGACAGGTTTTGTGTGTGGTTAAACTCTTCAGGGTTTAGGACCACAGGAGCTTTGCTTGGGAAAGACTACCTTTATCTCTTCTTTCCTGCTAGGGAAGAGATGATGCCAAGGTCTTTCAGCTTCATCTAGCTGTTGGTATCCTCAATTACAATTTGTCAATGTAGGAGATGAAAAAGAAGGTGCAAAAGGCAACTAATATGAGCAAGGACTTCAAAACTTCTTTGTAAGAGCTTTCTGAATAAATCCCACCCAAAGGGCAGCTGGCTGGGGTGGGAAAATTCCTGAAAATTCCACTGTTTCAAACCTGTTTTTTCCAAACCTTGCTTAACTGTTAATCACAATCCCAGCTCATTTGTCCCAGCTTCTTAGGAGTGCAGTTTGTACCAGATGATGCTTTGGGAACACACCATGCACCAAGAAGTCTGCATTTCCTATTAATGTAATGACTGTTAAAACAGGTCACAGAAGTAAATCCCAGCTCCAGTGTTAAAATATTTGCTGCTCAAGATTTTTTCCGTGGTCGGTCACTGTCTATGTAGATGTTCATACGCCACCCAGTGGAGAGTTTACACCGTGACTTGTAGGAGTGATCAATCTCTCCCCTCGTTGTATTTTAGAATTGCATTTCAGGGGTAGAGGGTAGAGTTTAGGGTTTGATTATTCCTGTAAACTTAAATCATAAGAGCAAGGCTTCACTGGGATTCCAGTTCCAAATAAACTGAAGTATTCTGTACTCCTTAATGCAGAACTGATACAGTTTAATAACAAACTCAAAATTCCACCTGAGACCACAGGAATGAGTAAGTGCAAGGTAATGGTTTGCTAAATGTTCAAAATATCTTCAGACACCAGAGAAGGAGAGAGAAAAATATATTTTAATATCTGTTTTCTTCTAGACTAGCAGATTAAATTGACATTTACATAAAAAATTAGTGTATTTGAAGTTATCTCCTCTATCATAACATTTGAAACTATCTTCTTTAAAAATGGAAAATTACAATAGTATCAGAAGGTATATATGAGTAGTGAGACATTAATTTACTCATTCTTACTTAGGGAGATGTGGCAGGGCAAATGCCATAGGACAGAGGCTCATATTCAACTTCGCACGGTACTTTCTGTGGTCATTTTCATCTACCATGCCTAAATAAATGCCATTTCCTTAACACACTCTGTACTCCAGACTTCAGTTGTGTATTGCTGTTTGGAGCCTGCATAGAAGGTGTAGTCCTGAGAGATAAGTAAGTTTCATTGCGTAATGCTCTCCTTTCTTTTTTTGTGTGTTCTTTCCTGTTTCAGCCCCTTGCCCCTGCCCTTTTTTCTTGGCTTATACTTCTGGGTGCCATTTAGACCATATTTGTATGTAAATTGTAAACAACATTTTGGGAATCTTCTCATATTTGATTTGATATTTTCTGGCACAGCTCCCTCAGATTTTCTGTCCTGTCTCTTAAGTTCTGCATCTTTTTAGGTGAAAGTGGAAATTAATGTTGTGATAATAACTTAAGAGCTTTTTGATATATAATAAAAATAAAGTTTTTGAATTGTTGAAATTGGGCTGCAGGCTCTTCCTTTCTATGTATCAAAAAAACCCTCAGATTGATTACTACTTTCTGTATTTCCCAATCAAGAAAATACATAATATTTAATATATGTTTAAACATATTTTTTTAAAAAAAGGCCAAATGTATGAAAATACTTGTTTGGCTATGACTGTCTTGTTGTTCCTCTCTGCAGGTTCGGTGATGCAGTGAACAAGAACTTAGTAGTGGGCACCCTTTCATGGCCCTCTCCATGGGTCATTGTGATAGGATCCTTCTTCTCCACCTGTGGAGCAGGTTTACAGAGCCTTACTGGAGCCCCCAGACTGCTACAGGCCATAGCAAAGGACAACATCATTCCTTTCCTCTGGGTTTGTACCTGTTAAAATAAAAAGGCGTTCTGTGCACACTAACTAAGCAGACTTTGTGCTCTTGGAAATCAGATTTATTTTCCATAGTTTGCCCAACACTGAAGTGAAGGTCAATATTTTTTATTTTAATGCTTGTTTTCTTTTGTTAAAAGCTAGGAATATTTTTAAAAGAGTTTGATTAGACATATATTTCATGAAGAAATGTATTAGAAAGCCATTGGAATAACTTGACTCCTTGCTCTAAAGAAAAATGTGTAGGAAAATTACTTTTTTTTTTAAATGATTATGACCTTATGAAGTACTTATATGCTTAATGTTTCTGTTTCTTCAGGTTTTTGGTCATGGAAAAGCAAATGGTGAACCAACATGGGCTCTTCTGTTAACAGCCTTGATTGCTGAGCTGGGGATCCTTATTGCTTCGCTTGACATGGTGGCTCCAATTCTCTCCATGTAAGAAACATGCTGGTTGCTATTTAAGGAGGGAGGGAAAAAAACCAATTGATACTGTAAATCTGCTGATTTGTCTTTCAGAGTTGTATCTTACACCAATACAGCAAATTACTGGAGCCTGAGTTCTGCTTGTATTTTTTCTATGAAATCTGTGACTTCAGGCCCTGCATAACATGCTTCTGCTCTGGACTATTCTGTGAATAAATACGGTCTTAGTATAGATGGGTTGTTATTTTCTTAGGGAAAATGTTATTTTTATCACAGGACAAAGGTAGGGTTGATTTTATGAATAGCTCTAACTTGCTGCAATTAAAAAACACTTCTAACTGCTTTATACTGATAGCTCAGGTGAATAAAAATCAGAGGGATAGTCACATATAATAGGATATTTTGACTGTAATTAATCCCTGTGATTATAATATGTGCCAGAATCTATAAATGTATGTGCTAAAGTTTTGTTCTCTTTTGCCTCTGCAGGTTTTTCTTGATGTGTTACCTCTTTGTTAATTTGGCATGTGCAGTACAGACACTTCTTAGGACTCCAAACTGGCGGCCCCGATTTAAATACTATCACTGGTAAGCAAGACCCAGCACTCTCATGGCTTACCTGCAGCCTGGGATTGGGAAGAACCCTCTCCACAAGATTTGTGGGCCTGTTTTATATCTCTGCATATCAGTTCTAGAGAAGAGTACACAGACAGAATATTCATAGTGGACCAGACCCAGATATTTAATGGCATGAGAGTTTAATTCCAACAACAGGACATTAAAACTGCTGGGGACTGGGGGCATACACTGGAAGCTTTACTTTCACTGCCGGTTCAGAATAGACAATTTAAAGAAAAAATAGCAAGAGAATAATTCACTTGTTTTTAAGCTTTCCTACCCCACTACTTAATAATATCTTTGCTTTTTGTTTTAGGGCCCTCTCATTTTTAGGCATGAGCATTTGCCTGGCACTGATGTTCATTTCATCTTGGTATTATGCTTTGGTAGCTATGCTTATTGCAGGCATGATTTACAAGTACATTGAATACCAGGGGTAAGTATTAACTTCATAAAAGGGTAGGGAGGAGGTTGGGTCTATTTTTTGTGAATTATCTCTAGCATTCACATTTGCAGAGGAACTGTCCAGAGATAGGACTTAAAGGGCTTCCCTTATTAGTTGATTTTTTTCATTGTTTTACTGTGTCAGTGCTAAACAAAAGCCCCTGAAGTGCTGTGTTGTTAAGCCTCTAAAGGTGTTTGGTGAAACTTCAGAGTCACAGCAAGGAGAAACCCTGGTTGGGTTGTGTCCTGTCACATGTAATTACTCCAGGCCCAGCATACCTGAAGGCAGCCATCTTATTCCAGTTTATCTGGTAAAAAGGTCTGTAGAACAGTCCTTGAAAAGCTCAATCTGCAAGTTAGGTTGCCTGAGATGGAGTCAGGCTATAGGATGGCTGTACAACTTCATTTTAACAAATCAGGTATTGAAAATGCCTGATGCTTGTTTATGCTTGAGAAGCATACTCTGCAGTGGAGTGTTCATTACACGTTAAACACAGAAGGGTGGTGATGTGGTATAAATTTGACTGAAAGATTTGCATTTCTCTCATGTGATACATGGTAAGCATCACATACATGCATGTGCAAATGGTAAATATACATATGATGCATGCACATGATTAAACTCATTGCAAGGTAATAATTTCTCTATAGCATGGCTGTAAGTGTGCAATTAAATGCTCATTAAACCATTTATTGGCTAAATTGTGTGTTCCTCACAGTGCAGAGAAGGAATGGGGTGACGGCATCCGAGGTCTCTCTCTCAGTGCCGCAAGATATGCCTTGCTCAGACTGGAGGAGGGCCCTCCACACACAAAGAACTGGAGGTACTCATTTTAGACTAATAAAGTGCACTGTCATGATTTACTTAGGGATTTAAACTGGACTCCCAAGCAAGATACTTTTGATCTGTGTGAATGAATTTAAATGGCCAGAATATAAATAAAATAGGAAGTGTTGAGTCTGTGGTAAGATGTCCTGTCATTGCCCGAGCCTGGCTGTGTGGGCCCTTCCTGTCAGATCCTTTGGATCTTTCATCAGGCTTGGAATCAGTGAATTCAGAAGTGGAACTTGCAGAAACTGTGGAGATGTCTGAGAACAGAGGTCCAGAGGCCTGTGTCAGTTTGCAGTGGGGGGCACAAAGAAGTTCCTACTTTCATTCCAGGATTAAAAACTGAACAGTAACCAACGTTTTTCCCCCTGGCTTTGTATGTTGAAGACAGATTAAGTGAGCAAGAACCCTCCTCTCAGTTCTCCATTGCACAACTCTTAGGCTCTGAACAAGAGGACTGGAAGTCTACCAAATAGAGAGTTTTAGAAATCTCTTTATACTTGCTCAACAATAGCTTGCAACAGAAAATTAGTTAATGGATGTCCCCCTTACGGGACAGAAAGCAGGTGGGATCTGTGTTTAACTGAAAATGTTCCAAATTCCCAACTGTTTGGCACAAGTATCCAGATAGATCAGGAAGGACAGCCTTATGGTATGAACACAGCATGTGCTCTAATAGTACTTAAAAGAGCTTTGAAAATCAGCCACGTAAATAACACACTAATGTAAGCCTCTTAAGCTATGTGCGTGAATGGGTTTTGTGACTGTCAAAACAAAGCAGCAGCAGAAATCCCTCAGTGCTTCAAATCTGCTTTCAATAAAGAGAAATAAAATATTAATGAAAACAAAGAATGTACCGTTTTAGAGTTAAATGTTCAAGCACAATTACAGTGATGAGAGAGGAAGTTTATAGAAGTGTTTCTATTAAAACCTTATTAAAAATTACACTCCCTTATTTTTTTCTCCAGGCCTCAGTTGCTGGTGCTTCTGAAACTTGATGAAGATTTGCATGTCAAATACCCTAGATTATTAACGTTTGCATCTCAGCTGAAAGCTGGCAAAGGTTTGACTATCATAGGATCAGTGATCCAAGGGAATTTCTTGGAAACTTATGGAGAAGCCCAGGCTGCTGAACAGGTCAGTATCTTAAAAAAAATTCCTCTAGTGAAGAGGAGTGAAAGGGCAGATAACTTAAATCTTCATAATCATACATGGAAGAAAGCAGATCAGAAAGGTTCTGGGCTAGTTGAGCAGTACTACAGCTCTTCAGTAAGGGGCCTGCAAACATGTGTCAGCTGCCAGTTGTGCCTTTGATGTGGAAGATCAATGCTTGCAACTTGTGTAAACGTCCTTACTGCATAAAACTGTCTTCATTTATAAGAAGTAATTACTATTGAAGTTTATGTATGCTGATTAATGGAGGGAAGAGTATTCAGTTTTCTGCACATACCAAGAGACATTTCAGTAACTCTCAATAATTACAAACTTTGCAAATAGGCTGTGTTTCTTTCAGTGTGGTGATAAATTTCGTATAAAAAGCATTGAAGGATGGTCCTGAAAATTTGTTAATAAATAATTTCATCTTCCTAACTGTGTAAACAAGTCATCATAGCCTTGTTCAGGACAACACTTCTCCAGAAGCTTTTTATACAGGAAAACAGTTGCAAAGAGAACACTAATTCATAGGCCTGTGTGTTGACCAAGTTTGTTCAGTTTTTAACCACATAAAGGGGAAGGTATTCTTAAGGAATGGGGGGTTTAGTGCTTATATTTATAAGTTGAATGCGGTAACTAAGTGTTATTACCTAGAAATCTGAAAATGGAAATCCAAATGAAGTTAATTAACCTTGGGTTTAAGAAACTGAGTGTTTGAGGGTTGAAAAATGGAAAGTAAGTTAGTAACACAGATATCACTAACTGCTACTATAAATTATTATACCACAAACCAAAATACTCTTAATCTGTTAGAAATAACTATGTTTGGAAAGGAACTATGTGTGTTTTAAACAAGTATTATTCACAAATAGTGGGTATTTTCTTTTTTATTAAGGAAAGTGGATGAGCAGAACTTTGCCTTGAAATGTGATTTACTTTTGGACACATGAACCAGGAATTCACATTCTAATCCCACGATAGAGAAATACTTAGGAGTTCCTTTTAGTTGTGAGGTTTCTCCTTGTCTGTCTTGCAGACTATCAAGAATATGATGGACATTGAGAAGGTGAAAGGGTTTTGTCAAGTAGTTGTAGCCAATAAAGTTCGCGAAGGAATTGCCCACTTGATCCAGTCCTGTGGACTAGGTGGCATGAAGCATAATACTGTGGTTTTGGGATGGCCATATGGCTGGAGACAAAGTGAAGATCCGAGGTCGTGGAAGACCTTCATAGGTGAGCTTCAAAGATTCTGTGTGGTCCTTCTGAAATTGCTGTTAGTTTTTAGTCTGTTTTGTTTAGTATGGATTGTGAAGTTGCTAATTTTTCACAAAACTACTTTATGTTTGAAATAACACTTCTTGCAGGTAAAAGACTTAAGAAAGATCTTCAAATATTAATCTGGCAGCTAAAATTTATCTGTTTAATAAATGGTTAAAAAGTTATGGACTTGAGAGATAGTGTTTTTATGGCAAACTATAATTTGTTTCCTAGTCTCTGTCCTTTCACAGGTCCTAACCTACCCATCTCTCTCCACTACTGGAACTAACACTCCCCTTGTCTATATCCTGTTCTTTCCCCTATGGTCCATTCAGCTAACACAGTCAAATTAGAACAGAGCAGATGCTTTCTCCTCATACTTAGCTTTGAAGATGGCTGCTTTTATTTCACACATGAAATAGGGCTTGTGTTCCTGTGAGTCTGCTCTACCCTGGCTTTGTTGTTTGGTCTGACCTGTCTGGGCATGCCTTGCTGTACACACTTCTTTCTCATAAACACAATTACTTTTATGGTTTGCTGACATTTGCTGAGTGTCTGTATTTTTTTTAAATCATAGATGCTCTTGCAGAATTAGAGGTAACTGTCTCTTTTCCCCCTTTTGGGCAGGTACTGTTCGCTGCACAACTGCAGCCCATCTGGCTCTGCTGGTTCCCAAAAATGTGTCTTTCTACCCCAGCAACCATGAGCGTTACAATGAAGGCAACATTGACGTGTGGTGGATTGTACATGATGGAGGCATGTTGATGTTGCTTCCTTTTCTGCTCAAACAGCACAAAGTAAGGAGCTCGCCAGAGAAACCTTGTTGCCCAGCTGCTTCTGTGTGCATTAGTTTAAAGAAACAAGGTCCAGTAGTGGAGCCTGCATTGATATATTGATAAGTTTCTGTTTCATATAGCAAATGATTAGTGGTTCATGTACTGAGAGTTTTGTGTTCTCTCACCAGGTTTGGAGAAAATGCAAAATGAGAATTTTTACCGTAGCTCAGATGGATGACAACAGCATCCAGATGAAGAAGGACTTGGCTACTTTCCTCTATCAACTCCGAATAGAGGCAGAGGTAGAAGTGGTAGAAATGGTAAGGGATTTGAGCCCTGTTTTCACATTATGGTGCAAATGGGTGATATTTAGTTATGACTTGATTACAAGCACAATATTTTTTTTCTTATTTCTGCAGCACAATAGTGATATCTCAGCATATACTTATGAGAGAACTCTTATGATGGAGCAGAGATCTCAGATGCTGAGGCAAATGAGGCTGACAAAAACAGAGAGGGAAAGGGAGGTATGTCATTTGTGGTTGATTGCTATGGGCTGCTGAGGTGGATGACACAAAGTGTCCTCCTGGTAGTGTTTTATATAGCTGCTGCTTAAATTTAACTCCTGTGTTCTAAAGATGTAAGGAAATAATTTTAGTGTAGATTTTTGTTTCCCAAATTGCATGTAGTCACTGAATGGCCTGGCTATGCTTGCAAAACCATGCTAGAAATTGTTTTGGGAGAAACAATGGAAGTATATATGTTGTGGAACACATAAAATGTCTCTCCTTTGCAACGTAAATGATACTCGAAGACTTGAGGATGCAAGTCTCAACCCTTTCTTGACCTTGTTTTTGCTTTATGTGGGAAGTCCGGGGTTTGTCTCAATTTATAGTATATTCTGTTTTCCTACTGAAGATTTCATTCCAATTCGGACTGTTGGAACATGTAGTTTTAAAAGGAGCAGGTGATGTAATTTTTCTGCATTTATTTGTGCAACTCTTTTTTTGTTGTCAATTAGAATCATCCTTGTCTGTTGTTTCAGACCATGTCCTGATGTGAGCTGGACTACCATTTTTCCTTGTATATGTACAGGCCTCTGTTAGTCCAAATTCTCCATGCTTAAACCCATCAAAACTGTTTAAAGACAGTTTTGTATGTAAGGTTATTGGCTAGGGCAAATGCCTGGTATCAGAGCTGTCCAAAATGCTAAACTGACTGTACAAAATAAGGGATACAATGGAACAAAGTGTATTTCATGCCTTAAAAAGAACCAGAGAATGTATAATAAAGTCTGTGGGTTCACCTTGTCATTCATGTGCCTTCTAGGCTCAGCTGGTGAAGGACAGACATTCAATAGCACGTCTGGAGAGCCTCTACTCAGATGAAGAAGATGAGGGGGACCCAGTTCCTGAGAACATCCAGATGACCTGGACAAAAGAGAAATGTGACGCTGAGAAGCGGAACCGAGGCAGCGCTGTGGGAAGCTTTAGAGATCTCATCACCATTAAACCGTGAGTCTTGTCTTAAGTCAACAGCTTGTACCTCTTGGAACCGTAGATGTGCTCTGCTTTTACTATCTTTTCTCTCCTAATCCTGGGTTTAGACTTGTGCAATAAACATTAAGACCTGACTACTGAGAAGACAGCAGTTATAGCCTCCTGAGAAATCTACCCAATTAAATCTGGCACACACCCTTCAATATTTTACTTGGTAAAGTGAAATTCTAAATTGGAGCTGTTTAATCCTATTAAAGCTTTCCTCCTGTTTCCCAAATACCTCAAGAAACAACACAATTAAAAACCAGACTGATAATCTCACATTTCAATCAGATTTTTTTAAAAGACTTTTTATTTCACTATCTAATATGTATTGTGGATGTTTAACGCAGCAAGGAAGAAGCTGTGGAGATGATGAATGACTGTGAATAGAATACATGTGTTATGAAATCCTGTAAGATGGACTTGCTTTTGAAGGAGCTCTAACATGTAACAGCAGCCTTAGTACCACCACCTGTGTGCCCTTGAATAGCTAGAACTAAAGCTTTATTTGTGGCTTCGTATAAAAAGATATGAATCTCCTGTGACCTCTTTGATGTACATCTTACATGAAACATTCACCCAGTCAGGTTGCATACATGGCAAAGTTCTAGATTTTTCTTCTTAATCAGTGAGAATTCAAATCTGGTTTAGGATCAATAATACATAGTTTCTATACTGTAGACATTCTGCTGAATTTGGTGTTAACTTCCTGTACTTTTTCCTCTTCCATGCTTTCAGAGAGTGGGAAAACTTGTAAGTTTGTTACTTAACTTAGAAGTACATTAAGATGGTTGAGAGGGAAGACTTCATTTTCTCAAATAAGAGAAGGAAAACCATATGTAATTATGGAAGAAAAGGAGTTAGAGTTGAGCAGTCTTGGCAGTGGTTTTAAAGGGAAGCAGGATTAGCCACTTAAGCTAAGTGTCATTATAAATAGCTTGTAACAAACTATGAGAGTTGTCCTGACAAGAACTAAGTCAGGATAAAAAACAATTCCAGGTCTAACCCTATTTTCTTAAGCAGAGTATGGACACAAGAAGTGGGAAACATTATTCATTTAGAGGAGCTCTTGTTCAACAACACTGACTGCTATGAAGTTATTTCTGGCAGTTTCTGAACACTAAACACTTTCTTACAGCCTGCACCTTCAAATCACTTGGGAGATGCCAATTTTAAATGTCACTTTAGAGGATACCAAACCTTTAGTTTAGTCAAAAACTATTCAAAAACTATACATAGTTAATAACAGCATACTGTTTCTGGTGCTCTTTTTTTCCTCACTTCCTGTAAACATAATCTGGCCTCTCTGCTGTCCCTGGCTTTCTGAAACTGACAAGAGTGATACGTTGAAGACAGAGGATGTCCTTGCTCTAAATGAAATAATAACATGAAATAACAGAGAAGTAATTTGAAATGTATAAATTGTATTATTAGTATAATAAACATTCTTACTATTGCATCTTCTATTTTTTGTCTATATAAAACACTTCATTGCAAACCTAAATACTCAAGAGGAGCGGCAAGGTCATTGAAGACTTTCACTCATCAGTTGTAAAGCAGAATAAAAAACCCCTATACATTCATATTTGATTTGTTGCTAATACAGCTTGTTTTTAATATACTAAAATGAAGAGAAAAAGGCAAGTGGAAATCCTCAAAGCTGCAAATATATCCTCCCATTGATAAGTCTATTTCTGTATTGTTTTTCCTTTTACACTACCAAAATAATGCTTGATTTCCTGTAGGAAGGAAACATTCCCTGGCTCAGATTCCCTGAAGAATATTCTCCAGTTCTGTTCCTGCATGAATTGGTGTTATTTTGTGATGATATATTCTGAATAATGAATCCTGTTACCTCTGTTAGCCTGGATCCTTAAGGAGGAGAGGTTTATGAGATCATGCAGCATCTGTTGTCTTCTCTCCCCTAACTTTGGAACCAAGTGGCTACTCAAATTTGAAAGCATGATTGAGACTTTAAAGATACTCGGGTCATAAGTGTTTCTTGTAAACAGCCAGGCAGAGAGGTTGATTAGTGCCCAACTGAAGGAAAGGTTAAAATCCTTATTATACACCAAAAAAGCTCCATAAGCAGGCACATGTCCAGCCATTTATTGCCAGGCTGCATTCCAGCCTACACATCTATAGGAAACTAGGCTTTCTCTGGTTATGCCAACTGCTGTTCAGCACAAAAAGACAAGTGCACTCATGGGATGTATGGACTGAGTGCAATGGTACCTGTCTCCTACTTGGCTCCAGTGGGCCTCTGAGAAAGTTGCCTGATACTGCATCTGGAGACATGCATAGTCTGTGCTGTCATGGGAGTGAGGGATCTGGAGAAAGTTGCCAGAAGCTGAGGGGAAGAGGGCTCTGCAGACTCAAGTGTCCATGGACAGTGCGCACATGAAGCAAGTCCCCTTGTGCAAGTCTTATGCAAGGCTGGAGCATCTTTATAAAATGTGCTTCTTGAAAAGCAATTTAACTTCATACACTGGACACTTGACTCCAGGGATCTTAAAACAATGGACCAGCTGTACCTGAAGAACTCTTTTGTATCTTCCTCATTAAGTCTGGAAAAATTTACTGTGTTGAGTTGACATTTAACAGGGTATTTAGGAGATCCGAGGTATGCTTTTAATGACCTTTTAAATCATTCAGTTTTCAGAAGCAGGTTTCTAACAGCAAGTCTCAATGTGCTTCTTTTACAGGAACCAGTCTAATGTCCGAAGAATGCACACAGCAGTGAAGCTAAATGAAGTAATTGTAAATAGATCCCATGATGCCAGACTTGTTCTCCTCAACATGCCTGGTCCTCCAAAGAATACTGATGGTGATGAGAACTGTATCCTTTCAGGCAAGGCCTGGTCCACATGGAAGCTCTTCCTTAAATCTGTGCTCTTGATTTTGTTTTGCAACAAATGCTCTCAAGCTGCAATATGTGATAAAGTGTCTACTGACTGGAGGGTACTGGCTTGTGGCTGTTAATGTAGTAAGCACTTAAAGCAGAAGCTGCCACTGGTTGCTCTGGAAGCCTTGTAGGACTAGAGCACAGCTAGCAAGCCTGTTGGCTCCACAGTTAGTTCTGTCCATAGCTGCTCTTCAGCCTTGGTTTGTACCACTAAATCAGCAAGCCTTTCACTGGCCTGTGCCAAAAAACATATGTCACAAGGCACAAACCAACTTATTTTCTGGTCTTGTCTCACAGAGAATGCCCCTGCAGCCTCCCTGCTACCCAAGCATTGCCTCATAAGCCCCACACAGAAGATGATCGCTGTGTTTTGGTTTTGATATTTGTTTTGTCCTTGACTTCACCAAAACAGACATGGAATTCCTGGAAGTCTTGACTGAGGGTCTGGAGAGAGTACTGCTTGTTAGAGGAGGCGGCCGAGAAGTCATCACAATTTACTCCTGATTAATTAAAAGCTTCTAATGCTGCTCTTCATTTACCTTCTTGGCGATAACAGACATTCCAGTTTTAAATGGAGAAGAAAAAAGGTCTTTTGCCTAACTTTCTCCTCATCCAGTCCTGTTCATTGTCTTTCCATTTGCAACATACATATCTTTTGGGATTGCAGTATTGTCACACCATCCGATTAGCAACATAAATTAATTGTGAAGCTGCCACATTATTCAGTTTCTGCTTTGGTACTTCAGCATTTGTGCATGTAGTTTAACACTAAACTTATTTTTAGTCAGCACTGCTATGTGCACTATTTTTAGTAACTGTATGTAAAGTTAGGACATGAAAGCCAGTTACTGTAAAAAGATTTTAAAAGCTTTTTATATTAGGTTTGGGGAATAGAATTACATTATATAGCAGCTAGTTTCTGCTGAAGTTCAGATATAAAGCATTTTCTAAAGAGCACACTAAATTGTGAGAATGAACTGAAAAAGCTTATGTTTTTCTGGGTTTACTTCCAGAACTAAACTTGCAGTATTGGATAAGAATTTATACTTTTAATACATTTATTGATAGAGATTTAAATAAATTATGTTGATATAGTTGAAAATATGTATGTAGCTTGCTACACATCGTGTTGCTTCCGAGACTTGAGGTTCTGTGAGGCCAGATCCCTATTTATTTTTGTATTTATTTGTCAGAAATATTGGATATGCAGATGCAGACCATTTAGGATAACAGATCTCACAATAAATTTTGAACTGTCAGTGGGTTGGAGGACCAGTTGTGTGCAGTTCTTCCATACTTCAAATTTTTTGCAGACCATCCATCAAAGTACTTTGAGCATGTTGGAGCCCTGTCTGTAGAGCCAGGTGCTATGCTGCACGCACAGCCGTGGGATTACCCTTGCACAAGTACAGGGGACCTGCTGCTTCATTGTATGCTTCATGCCCTTAGAGGAAAAAGAAGAAAAGAAGACCTATATAAACCAATAAGTCTCTGGAGATTTTATCAAGCCCGTTGAGTTGTACTTTATGTACAGAACATTCGTATTTTTTCAATAAAATGTTGCATACATTTTGAACCTATTCTCTGTTCTGTGTGCTGTGGTGAATCACGTAGGAAAAACCCCACCTGTTCTTCCCTGGGCAGAGCTGCTTTGCTCTGGCTGCAGCACATCAGCACCCGTGGATCCAGCCTGAGGGGGCAAGGTGGGGGTGCCACATGGTCTGCACTGTGGAGCTGCTAGCTTAGACTTTAATGCAGCCTGGTGGTGTGTCTTAAGTGGGTAAAGGCTCCTGGGTCTGGAGTCTCCTTGTGCAAGAGCCTGGGAGAACTCTAACCCCACAGTATGTAATCCATTATTTCAGGCTCTCTGGGAAAGCAGTAATCCTGTACAAGAGAGACGTGGGAGCTGACCTCTGTGGGATGCATTAGTAGCATGGGAAGGTGGGGATTGATAATATTTCTCTGACCCAGGTGCTCTTGCTAGTTGGAATATTAGTTTTGTTAACCGTGTTGGGATAGTGCTCCTCTTTGTTTCACTGATAATGGCATGACAATTTGTGAGAGACATCTGAGAGGCTATACAGGCTTTTATCTGAGTAAGAATAATGTAATTAAAACCTACTTGTCACAAAAGTTTATATGTAAAGCCCAAGTTTGTTTTCTCCATGAAATAGGACATACCTGATGGCAGCAGGATGGTACTAGTGTGTGCAAGATCCCTGCAAAACAACAGCCAGGAAACACCTCTAGGGTGAGCTTGCTACTGCATATTTGTTCCTTAATTTTTTTAAAAAAACAGTCTCTGCTTTTTGGGTTTTGAAAACCAAAATTCATTTCACATTTTAAAACAAATGGAAAGAATAATGCTTGTTTATTTGTAAACAGTGTACTAGTTGTAGAGAGATAATTTTTACAATTTTAGAGAGCTGAGCAGTGGAACACAAGCATACAGCAATCATAGTTAACAGCTCTGCAAGCATTCTTCTCTAGGAGTAATGAAAAAAGTTTATGAAAACTTATTACTCAAACTTCTGTAGGCCTAACTTTGTTTTGCCAAATGTAAGCTGTTAATATAATCATACTGAGAAATATATACCCTTATTCCTTACAAAATTCTATGTGTTTTGATGGTGTAACTCCCATCTCTCGAAAGGCTTTCAGTGCCATCTGCTACCTGACTCAATTAACCTGTTTGTGGCTTTATTATGTTTTAACATCAAACCAACCAGGTGAGTCTCCTTACAGATATGTGAGGTTAGGTTTTCAGAGTTGATTCTATGCAATGTGGATTAAAAAAAAAACCCTAATTCAGCATTGTGTGGACCCTAAGGATTTAACAGGCTCCAATTATGTAAGATGTGTCTGCACAGGTTCAAAACGAGTTCCTCTGAGCTTTAGCTTACGTGGAAGTGCAGAGCCTAGGGGTGCAGGTCAGTGAAAACTGGAAGCAGCATGAATGGAAAAGTTTGTATAAGAAAAATATCAATAGAAAACATAATTTTTAGTTGAGTCAGCTTCTGTCAGGGCAACCAAATCTTCCATTCATGTCCCTACTCTAAAACCTTTATTTGGAAAGGAGGTGAGAATATTGCAGTTAACACAAACATAATGAAGTTGATTTAAGCTTCTATTTTTTATATGGGTGCAGTGAATTATACTTAAAGCCTCCATGGTATAGATATAATAATTAGGGAGTCATTGAAAAAATCCTACCAGATGTCTCTGCTTTATCTTTCACCTCCAGAAAACTTGAAATCAAACCCCTGCAATCAAAGCCAGCAAAGTGCCTTTGCTGCCCAGAAGTGCATAAGGAAGAGTGTGGTCAGCAGGTTGAGAGGTCATTCTCCCTCTCTGCTCTGCCCTGGTGAGGCTACATCTGGAGAACTGGGTCCAGTTCTGGGGTCCCCAGTTCAAGAGAGACAGGGAACTGCTGGAGAGAGTCCAGGGGAGGGCAAAAGAGATGACTTGGGGATTGGAGCATCTCCCTGATGAGGGAAAGCTGAGAGAGCTGGGACTGTTCAGCCTGGAGCAGAGAAGGCTGAGGGGAGACCGGATCAATCCCTCCAAGTATCTCAGGGTGGGTGCAGGAGGATGGAGCCAGACTGCTCAGTAGTTCCCAGGGACAGGATAAGGGGCAACAGACACAAGCTGGAACATGGGAATTTCCATTTAAATATGAGGGAAAAGCCCTTATTTACTATCGGGGTGACAGAGCCCTGGAAGAGGCTGCCCAGGGAGGTTGTGGGGTCCCCTTCTCTGGAGACATTCCAAACCCCCTTGGATGCAGTCCTGCGGGATGTGCTCCAGGCAATCCTGCTTTAGCAAGAGGTTGGACTAGATGATTTCTAGAGGCCACTGCCAACTCTGACCGTTCCGCGAAGATTCCCAGCCCGCGGGAGCCGCCGCCGCCCGGGAACACCGCCAGGGGGCGCGGCAGCCGGGAATCGCCGCCCGGCGGGAAGTGTTCGTGCTGCTCGTAGGAATTCTGGCAGGAAATGACCCGTGATCGGTTAAAAAAAGTGCCGCTTTAAACAATCCACCCTCTTCCCCTGTCTCCATTCTTCATTTTTCTCATCTGCGTCATCCACAGCAATGTTGGCTTCTTCAGTAGCTCCCTTGGGAAGGGAGAATCTGCCTCGTGCTGTGCTGCGGAGCTCAGAGTTCTCGTTCCGTTCTGGAGTCATTATCCCCCCTCGCAATCCCTGGCCCAGATGCTGCCCGCACCAAGGGCTGCTCTCCCCTGGGGAGGTGCGAACAGAACCACCCGACCTGAGGTGAGCCTCTCGCCACAAACGCTGTGTCCCTGTGGTTTAGTGCTGAAGTATCTGTATCTGTGGCACAGACTGTGAATTGCAGTCAGCAGTTGTCTACAGTGTTGTACATGTTGTCAGTGCTAAAGGTGTTCGGTCCCTCACTGACAAATTAGTCCTTTGCATTGTGCGTCAACCAGAGGCAAAACCAGCAGCCTGCAGAGCATGCAAATGAACAAATAGTTGGTAGAAACAGAGAAACAAACAACTCAAAGTCAAGAAGCTTATGAACAAATCTTTATTATTGTTCCTGAGTTTCTCATGCTCTGTGGGAGTTCATTTTTTGGTGGGCCTTTCAAATGTCAGGCAGTTACTATGTCTACAGAAGACCCACTCTGACTCTGCAACCAGCAGTAAGGATTACAAGAATTACAGCTTAATATTGAGTGGCATAGATCTAAATTCAAGACACAATATAGGTAACAAGATAGCAAGTCATACAACTGTAGTACTTTGTCAAACTTGCCTGATTTATATAGCTGAATACATAGGATTTTCTTGTTAAGCATCTGAAACAATCTCCTAGGGGTAACAATTTTGTTATGCTTTTAAACTTAGAGTTATTATTAAATACTTCTATTTGCTTTCTATTAGATTAAAAAAAAAAAAAAAGGAATCATAAGGAATCAATTGCGAAGGTTTTAAAAAAAATCACCACAGAAACATTAAGGATCTAAACAGAATATGTAAATACTCTCCATCAAAATAAGCTGGCTACAATCAGGACTGGATGTATTTTTAGTTGGCTCCTTTCATGTTCTTCACCAGAGTCCATACAAACTGTTCCCACAAAATAATTCTTTGTGGCTTATCTGCTCTTTCCTCTTTCAAGGACAAGTACAATTAGCTTCCTCAGAGGCCAGCTGTGCTGGGGTGAAGCACAGCCATGCTAATTGTTTGTGAGCTTTTAACTAGCACAACTCTTTCCATCTCAGAGCTGCTTCAGCTCAGTTTTCCATAAACATGTATCTGGTTGGGCTCCACTCCCTACCATTTTCAACAGCTTGCTTGCATTTATGGAGATATTTCTCACCTTAAGAGAGATTATTGAAGTGGTCAGCCAGGCCAGCCAACTGAAGTGAACATACTGAAAATAAAAAGTAGAAGAACTTTACTCCAGCCTGTCTCTTAGGTGGATTCAGTTTAATTCCCAGGCCCTGTTTTTCACACAGTGAAGATCAAGCAAAACCTGTGTAAGATTCTGCTGTGAGCAGAGCTTAGCAGTTATGTTGTTCCCAGAGTGGTGCATGGTTTTTACATGGTATTTTTTTTCCTCAGCTTTAAAAAACATCTCCTTTTAAACAAGCATGATGCACTCCCTGTGTTTGGGGACACAAGTCCCTACATCTATGTTTTTCTTTCTGCTAGCTGTTATGTCAGTAATTAATGGAAACTGGCATAAAATCTATGTAACTGGGTAACATGGAAGTGTTTACCTTAGCATCTGTACAATCAGAGAAATCTGTACAATTATGCTTAAGAACACATACTGAGGGTACATAACATTGTCTTGAAGTCAGTATGGCTACATTCTAACTAGCTGACTCCTTCTGGTTTCCTGGATAGACTGTACCTTGGGTACAATGGCAGTCCAGAATGGCAGCTTTGGAGAAAGTGGGTTATTCTTTCCTAGGGATCTTTCACTTTGAAGGCTCCTTAACCCCCTGGGATGCAAAGTTAAAATCAGGGAGATTAATTCAAAGTACAGCCTCTGATCTAAAGCACGTGTCAATTTTTAATGTACATAAATAAACACTATTGCTGTTGATAATGATGGAGGACAAATCTAGTTACTTGAAATGTGTCTAAAGACTAGAACTTGTCAGGGAGGAGGTGGAGGAAGGATAAGTATTTGAGATGTGAATGCCAAGTCATAAGTTTCAGACCACATGCCCTCTAAGGCCATGGATTTATGGCACCCCTGTGCCCTCCTCACATCTTTAGCTTTCCTCTAACACCAGAAGTAGTGTTGGTTTTCCTGAAACTGCCGGTTTGCCTAAAGTTAGAACAAAAATGACAGTAGAAGTGACAGAGATGCTATTTTCTATTATTTCTGTTCTACACAGAAGTAGAAAAGAAAACTCAACAGGAGACTGAAGTTGGAGGTAGTCTTATTTCTGTGTTAATTCACCTCTGTTGGTGAAGTCTGAAGAGAGAACAAATCCTGTTAGAATTCACAGTGCTTGCTTAATTTGTAATTATGTCAAGAGTTTATTCTGGCAGGAGTATGTGTGGAGTGCCCTTTTTCATATTGCAATTCAATGCT